TGGCTGGCGCCTTAGCCACTTGAGCCACAGGCGCCGAGCCTAGAACAGTGATTTTCAACTGGTGTGCTGTGAGAGATCTTAGGTGTGCCTTATAATTTTTTTTGTGTGTGTGTGAGACAGAGTTCCACTATGTTGCCCTTGGCAGAGTGCTATGACATCACAGCTCGCAGCAACCTCCAACTCTTGGGTTTAAGCAATTCTCTTGCCTCAGCCTCACAATTAGCTGGGACTACAGGCCCTCGCCACAACGCCCGGCTATTTTTTTGGTTGTAGTTGCCATTGTTGTTTAATGGGCCAAGGCTGGATCCAAACCTGCTGCCTCTGGTGTATGTGGCTGGTGCCGTAGCTGTTTGAGACGGGCACTGAGCCTGCAAACATTTTTTAAAATTCATTAATTTTTTTTTTTGAAAAAAGTTCAAAGCACGGTAATTATATTCTTTTTTTTTTTTTAACTCTTTTTCTTATCAATAAAATTTAAGTGTGGCATGAAAGTTTAGCTATCGGTTCAAGTGTGCTGTGAGATAAAAAATGGTTGAAAAACAGTTTTAGAAGTTGGTTCAGGGTTAGCTCAATGATGTCATCTGGGCTCTTGGCTCTTTCCCTCTCTCTACTTCTCCTTTTTTTTTTTTTCTAGCTAAATTCTTGTGCTGTCCCATCATGTTCTGAAGATGCCACAACACTAGGCACTACATCCTCACATAATTGCATTCAAAATCAGAGAAAGGGGCATTTCTCCTTGTGTGTCTTCTTTTTTTTTCAGAAACCTTTTTTTCTTAGAAAGGATATCAGACCCATTGGCCTTGGACGTGTCCATGTACTAACTGCAGAAGGTCATGGGAAGGCAGCTATACAGCAATTCTAGTCTCTATAATAGGAGTCAGGTTGCTAAGAGCGGCGGCGCACGCCTGTAGTCCTAGCACTCTGGGATGCCAAGACAGGTAGAATGCCCTGAGCTCACAGGTTCAAGACCAGCCTGAGCAAGAGTGAGACCTCATCTCTGGGGTCTGTAAAAATAGCCAGGCATTGTGGTGGGTGCCTGTAGCCTCAGCTACTTGGGAGGCTGAGACAAGAGAATCACTTAAGCCTAAGAGTTGGAGGTTGCTGTGAGCTATGACCCCACAGCACTCTACCAAGGGTGACAAAGTGAGACTCTATCTCAAAAAAAAAAAAAAAAAAGGAATCAGTCTCTATCAGCACGAGGGTCTAGGTGGAAAACGCCTGTAGGATATAGTTTCTATCACGGAGAGTGACTCTGAGGGACGTGACTCATAGTCATTTCTCTTGCTCTACAGAGAGAAAAGAGGCGACAGCCTGTCTAAGGCTCTGGTGCAGCACAGAGGGCATAATGCAAGGCAAAGCTGCAGAGAAAAATGGGGAGCACACCATCAGACCAAGCTCAGTATAAAATCTTTATCCTGAGGGCAATGGAAAGCCAGTGGAGGAATTTATGGAGGAGATGGAATATAAAATGGAAGCCAGAGTGAATAGCGTAACCCAGGAAGGGCCTTTGCAGGTGTCTGGGTAAAAGTGTGAATAAAATTATATAGCTTACTAATTAGCAGAAGTAAGACATTCTCCATTTAATCCATACTTACTGCAGAATTAGGATAATTTTTCCTAGAAGCATTATAGTGAAGGTAAGGAAAAGTTTGTCCATAACTAGAGGGAGATCGATCTTATTTATCAGAGGGTTTCCTCCTTTATTTTATAATTTACGTTTATCACAGAAATTTCATAAAATAGGCTGGGTGCGGTGGCTTACACCTACAATCCCAGCAGTCTGGAAGACCGAGGTGGGTGGGCTGCTTGAGCTCAAGATTTTGAGATCCACCTGAGCAAAAGCGAGACCCTGTTTCTATTAACAATAGAAAAACTGAGGCAAGAGGAATGCTTGAGCCCAAGTATTGGAGGTTGCTATGAACCATGATGCCATGGCACTCCACCCAGGGTGACAGCTTGAGACTCTGTCTCAAAAAAAAAAGAAAGGAATTTCATAAAATAGTGAGACTTACAAAAATACTAAGGAGGAAAAGTAAAGCAAGGAAGACAGAAAGGAAACAAGATATGTGGAAAGAGTATTCCCGACACAGGGAACAGCATTCTCAGCATAGCAAGCACGAGTACAAAGGACTTCAGAGACTTCAGATAGGAATGTGCCTGGTGTATTTGGGGAATATCTAGGAGGCCTGGTAGGTCTAGAGCATAGTGTAAAGAGACAGTAGGAAATGAGATCAGAGAGCCTTTAGGGCACCCTATTGTAACAGGCTTTAAATGCCTGAAGGTCTTTGGCTTTTATTCTGATGAGCTAAGAAGCCCTTGAAGGGTTTAAACAGAGGAGTGGCATGATCTGCCGTCTGTTCTAATAGCTCTGACCACTGTGTGGAAGGAGTTCAAAGGCCATTGCAAGACTTTATGCCAGAGGTGATAGTGGCTTGCATCAGAGTAGTAACACTAAAGGCAGGGGAAACAGCCAAATTCTGGTTATTTTTTTTTTATTTTTTTATTTTTTTTGAGACACAGCCTCAAGCTGTCCCCCGGGGTAGAGTGCCATGGCTTCACTGCTCACAGCAACCTCCAACTCCTGGACTCAAGTGAGTCTCCTGCCTCAGCCTCCCAAGTAGCTGGGACCACAGGCCCCCGCCACAATGCCTGGCTATTTTTTGGTTGCAGCCATTATTGTTGTTTGGTGGGCCCGGGCTGGATTCAAACCCGCCACCTTAGGTGTATGTGGCTGGCGCCTTAGCCACTTGAGCCACAGGCGCCGAGCCAATTCTGGTTATTTTTAAAGACTGATATGAGGGTCAAAGAAAGAGAAGAATTAAGAATGATTCCGATGATGTTATTAATAAACACGTGTTATGGTTTGTGGTGCCTTTAAGGTAATCTCCAGGGATGTCTGTAGATGAAGAGAATCAGAAATTCTACTGGATGTCGGCAATGCTGATGTTGAATTACGGGCTGTGTGGAAGGCAAAAAGATCAGACCTTGGAGGTATCTCTGGAGATTTCAAATCTACAGGAGGGGACCAGAAGAGGTAGCAGGGGGAAAGGCTGGGGTTTGGTCAATAGGGCCAGTAATAGGGCTATAGAAAGTTGCCCTTACGAACACAAAGACATGTTATAAGTTACTCTTCAATACAGAAAATATTTATTAAAATTTAACTCAAACATTAAAACCGCCTTTGGGCTTAAAATGCCTTAGGAAATGGAGAACCCAGAAATAGCTACATACGAGTATGACAACTGACATTTTTTGACAAAAGTGCAAAAGTGATTTTGTGGAAGAAGGACAGACTTTTCAAGGAGCAGTTGAATATCTGTAAGCAAAAATCTGAACCTTTCACCGAAACCTCATACTTTATTAACTAAAAACTCAATTCACAGGAATTAACTCAAAATGGGTCATAGACTTAAATGTAAAAGATAAAACTTAAAAATCTTTAATTAAGAAAGGAAAAAAACTTTAGGACCCAAGGTTGGTGAAAAGCTCTTTGATATGACATCAAAAGCACAATCCATAAATTTAAACAATTCATTTAAAATAAATTACAATCACCTGGGCTTCATAAAAACATTTGTCAGGCTCAGCGGCTTTTACCTGTGATCCTAGTACTCTGGGAGGTGGAGGTGGGTGGATCTCTTTAAGTTTGAGACCAGCCTGACCAAGAACAAGACCCCATTTCTACTAACAATAGAAAAACTAGGCTTGGCCCTGTAGCTCAGTGGCTAGGGTGCCAGCCATGTACAACTGGACTGGTGGGTTCAAACCCAGCCTAGACCTGCTAAACAACAATGACAACTACAACAACAACAAAAATAGCCGGGCGTTGTGGCGGGTGTCTGTAGTCCCAGCTAGTCAGGAGGCTGAGGCAAGAGAATCACTTAAGCCCAAGAGTTTGAGGTTGCTGTGAGCTGTGATGCCATAGTACTCTACAGAGGGCAACAGAGTGAGATTCTGTCTCAAAAAAAAAAGAAAAACTTGCTAGGTGTTTTGTTGGGCACCTGTAGCCCCAGCTCCTTGAGAAGCTGAGGCAAGACTATTGCTTGAGCCCAAGAGGTTGAGGTTGCTATGAGCTATCACATCATAGCACTTAACCCAGGGCAACAGGGTGACACTCTGTCTCAAAAAAAAAAGTAAAAACATTTGTCATGTTTCATTCTCCTATTAAGAGAATGTAAAGATAAGTTACACATGAAAGAAAACATTTGTGAACTACAATTTGACAAAAGACTTATCTGGAATACATGCAAATAAAAAGAACTCTCAAAATGTAACAGGAAAAAAAGCCCAAATAAGGCTCGGGGCCTGTGGCTCAAGTGGCTAAGGCGCCAGCCACATAACCTAAGGTGGCAGGTTCAGCCTGGGTCTGGGCCCGCCAAACAACAATGACAGCTGCAACCAAAACACAGCCGGGCATTGTGGCAGGTACCTGTGGTCCCAGTTACTTGGGAGGCTGAGGCAGGAGACTTGCTTGAGCCCAGGAGTTGAAGGTTGCTGTGACCTGCGATGCCATAGCACTCTACTCAGGGCGACAGCTTGAGGCTCTGTCTAAAAAAAAAAAAAAAACCCAAAAACAAAAACACCCAAATAATACCTATTCAAAAATAGGCAAAGGACATGAAAGGTTTGACAGACTAGAATATACAGATGGCAACTAAGCACATGGAAAAATAGTCAACATGATTAGCCATTATGGGAATGCAAATTAAGATCATGATGAGATATCACTACACATGTTATTTACTTTATTTATATTTTTATATTTTTTCTTTTTTACTTTTTATTTATTTTTTAATTTTTTAAATTATTTTTTATTAAATCATAACTTTGTACATTGATGCATTTATGAGATTCAGTGTACTGCTTTGATATACAATGTGAAATGCTTACATTAAACTAAATAATACATCCATCACAATTATACTCATTTCTTAATAGTTTTGAAATGTACCATTGCATCGTGCACGTTAGGTCCCGCCAAATACCCTCCCTCCTTCCACATCTCCCCTCCCCTCCCCTCTCTCTCCTCTTTCCTTCTACTTTCTGGACTATAGTTATGTTTTGCCATTCATATGAATGTGTAGGTGATTATACGTTGATTTCATAGCAGTATTGAGTACATTGGATACTTTTTTCCCCATTTTTGAGATACTTTACTAAGAAGAATATGTTCCAGCTCCATCCAGGTAAACATAAAAGATGTGAAGTCTCCATCTTTTTATGGCTGCATAGTATTCCATGGTGTACATATACCTAGATGATCAAAAATTATTTTACAATAAAGACATTTGCACCAGAATGTTTATTGCAGCCCAATTCATAATTGGTAAGACATGGAAACATTATTTACTTTAGCTAAGGTATAATAAATACCAATAATCCCAAATGTTGGTAAGGATATTAAGAAACTGGATCTCTCATACATTACTGGCAGACATGTAAAATGGTGCAGTTACTAGGCAAAGTAGTTTATCAGTTTTTATTTTATCAATTTCTTGTAACCTAAATATACATGTATCACACAACAGCAGTTGTACTTTCGGGCATTTATATCAGAGAAATTAAAATTTAGGTCCACATAAAAACCTGTTCATAGCATTGTATTTGTAATAGACAAAAACAGGACACAAAGTATTCTGCAGCAGACGAATGGTTAAACAAATTGTGGGACAGCCATACCATAGAACACTTAGTCAGCACTGAAAAGGGATGAACTATTGACACACGCAACAACTGGGATGGATCTCAAGGGCATCATCTTAAGTGAAAAGGCGTCAATCTTGGATGTCACAAACTGCACAAGTCCATTTATATAACATTCTCAAAATGTCAAAATTATAAAAAGGAAACAAAGTAGAGATCTTTAAGAGTTAGGTGGGCAAGTGTTACTATAGAGGAGTAGCACCAGGGAGATCTTTGTAGTGACAGCATAGCTGTGTATCTTGTTTATGGTGGTAGTTACATAAACGACATATATGACAGAATGAAATAAGACTATGCAAATACTTTATATCAATGTCAGTTTCTTGGCCTTGATATTTCACCAAAGCTATATCATATGTAGAATCAATGGGGCAAACTGGTAACAGGTACAGAAGACCTCTCTGGACCATCTTTGCAACTTCCTGTGAATCCGTAACCATGTCAAAATAAAAACCTTCAAAGAAAATTTCCTCTGAGGCATCTCTCACTTGCCTGTCTCTGTGCATTTCCTCTTTCTCTGAACATGACTTTTTCCCTTTATCTTCCCCCCTTTCCCTTATGTATTGAGTTTTCCTTTAATTGGCCACAATGCAGAACTAAATCATTCCCCACCCTCCTATTCATTTAATTAAGGCAATGTTTTCATGTGCTTAATTTTAAAAGCAGCAACCATCTATCAATAACACTTTAAAACAAATTTCTTTCTTTCTTTTTTTTTTTTTTGGCCCAGGCTGAGTTTGAACCCAACACCTCCAGTATATGGGGCTGGAGCCCTACTCCTTTGAGCCACAGGCACCACCCTAAAACAAATTTCTTAAAAAACAAAATCTGCAAACTAACCTGCTTTTTATTTTATATATTCCACAGTTAATCATTGTTCTTTAAGGTCAGTAGCCCACATTACAAATGTTTCCAACACTTATTGGAAGATAATTTTTGTTTTATATGTGGAGAGCCTTAATATGGTCTTTGTGTCTATTGATTATAAGCACGGATTCAGGATTTACGAGGAAAACAGTAATATATAATATTATGTTCCATTGACTTTTTCATATAGATCCCCACGTCAGAAAAATAATCCTTTGCCGGGCCGTGTCGCCACATTTTTCGTTCGGACAATATGATCATTACAACTAAAGAACATCAAGCTGAATACTGCCCTGTCCTGGCTCGGCTCCTGCGGCTCAAGCTGTTAAGGCGCCAGCCACATACACCTAAGGTGGCGGGTTCGAATCCCCAGCCCGGGCCCGCCAAACAACAATGATGGCTACCACCAAAAAATAGCCAGGCGTTGTGGTGGGCGCCTGTGGTCCCAGCTACTTGGGAGGCGGAGGCAGGAGACTCGCTTGAGCCCAGGAGTTGGAGGTTGCTGTGAGTGTGATGCCATGGCACTCTACCCAGGGGGACAGCTTGAGGCTCCGTAAAAAAAAAAAAAAAATACTGCCCTGTCCTAAAGACTTGCAAACGAATCCGGCAATATTTTTTTAAAAGTACTACTTTAGATTCTAAAGGACTAAAGAGCCTTCTACTCTTCCAGTGGGCTCATTGCCAAGCATTCTGAATTCTTTGAAAAATTATGAACTACAGGTGTTTAAATTTGCAAGTATTTTCTTTTAAGCTCTTCATTATCATAGTGTAGAACCAGGTCCCAACAAATAACAAAAGATTATAATTTACGGGGGCAATATTTACATCCAATGCATTTCTTCATTTCCCGCCATTAGTTTTCCTCTTTTCTTCTTTCAACCAAATCTTTCATCGCCTTCCTAAACTCCAGTATTTAAAAGCAAACAGCTGCCCTCACAAGAGCCTGTTATATTGCGGTTGCACTGGCTTGAGAACGAAGGAAGTTGGTCCCTTGCGGGGATCCGTCCTCACATCCTGGCGTTTGCCTGCAGCAAGATGGCGGCGGTCTCAATGTCAGGGGTGCTGAACCAGGCGGTGTGTTGGAGAAGGGCAGTAGGTGTAGCTGCTATTTCCGTTTCCAGGGTCCCGACCAGGTAACAGAATAGGCTATTTTTTCAAGCTTCTCAGGTCCCTGCAATATTGCGGTGTCTCTGCTGGCTGAGTAGTAGAGAAGGCTTCGGGGAAAGCGTCCTCTGCTGACCCTTTCCTCAGGAGAGGCGGGCGAGCTTGGGACTAACTGCGATGAAGGGGCGCTAGCCAGGCGAGTGCGGCATATGCGGGCAGCGGCAGGAGGACAGAGGTTTCTTGGAAGCTTTTGGCCTTTGCCAGAGGGAGAGGGTGGGTGGGGAGGGGTTGCCTTTGGAGCTGCAAGCCGAACCCACCCCCACCTCGAGGAGGGGAGGAGTCTTACTGATGTTTCTTCCCAGGTTCTGCATGGTTCCATTTGTCACCTGTTTGCCCCTCGCTACCGTTTTTACTGAGAATTAAGTTCCTATCTTTTTCCCGTGGCTTTCAGTAGTTTAGTTTGGGTAACTGAACAAAAACATTGTTTTATTCATCAGTCTGCTCGGGAGGAAAACTTGTTTGGAATTCAGTGTTAGTAAAAATATTACTGCTAGTAATATTGTAAGGTGATTTTTAAAAGACCGAGGCTAATGCCGGGAGGCTTTCCATCCAAAATGTTATTAAAGCCTTAACAATAATTCAGGGACTGTTGGTACCATTTTGCCTTGAAGCATTTATGTGGTGAGTTTTTTTCCCAACTTTTACTTAATCCTTCTTTTCCATATTTTCCCGAATTTTCCTGAGTTTATTATAGCACTAATGCTGTACATTCACACACATATTAGAACAAAGGTAGAAAGACTGGATGGAGAGATGTGAAGCGGGTAGGAGAAAGGTGGGTGGTTAAAAATTGAGAAGGTCTAGTAGAATGTTAACTAACTTAATATTAGATAAATAGAACAGCTGTGTAGGGAGTTGGGATGAGTTAATTTGAAATACTTTTTAAAGGTGTGTTTTATGAAGGTTTTAAGTAATGGGTATTGGATGGGAAAGTAGAGGGTGTCCTGGGTAGCGTTAGTGGCTTATGAAAGGGTGGTAAGATTGGAGAAAGGTAAATTATAAGCTTGTAATTAAATGTTCTGCATATGGGGAACTCGAGGGATGGAAAGTATTTCTCTAAAGCAAAATACTTCACTGGTTAATTTGGGGTTAGTACAGCCATAACTCAGATTAGTCCTTTCCCCTAGGCATTATAGGAATTAATTTTGCATGTCAAAAAAATAATGTAATCACAGGAGCACCAGAACTGAAAACAAGTTTGAAGGGACCACTGGTGCATGGCTAATCAAAACATGACTGTGTATCTAAGTTTAGACCATGGCCATTAGACCAAGGAAAACAATATTTTAATACAAGTTAACACATTTATTTGCTTTCTGTAGCACTTTTTCTTTTTAACCTAAAGAACTTATAATGTGTATTTCAATTTGAGGGAAATTTATGGGGCCTCTCCCTTATATTTTATTTGCTTTTCATCCTTAAGTACTCTTCGTTACGATTTTAGAGTAATAAGATCTGAAGAAGATCTGAAAAGATTGAGACAGCCACTTAGGGAATCTATGTCTAAAATTTATTTTATTGTAATATTTAGGAAAACATTTGCAATTGATGTAACATTTCAGATCACTTGGGTTAAAATATGGGAAGTGGAAATAGTGATTACTGTAAATAGTAAGGAGGGAAGTAGGGAACAGACGAAAAAAACTGTCAATGGAAGGATACAATGAGCTGCTATATTAACTTACATAAATTCACCCCCCCATCGTGTCATTAATTGTCCTCATATCAAAGTTGAATATGTTGGATTCATGTTTCTCCATTCCTGTGATGCTTCACTAAGAATAATGTGTTCCACCTCCAACCAGGTTAATACAAATGCTGCAAAAACCTAAATATAGCAGGTAATTTGGCTGTAGTTAATCACTGAGCTTGTGCTATAAAGTGGTTCTCTGTTTCCATTCCCTGGACTGGTCATGAGGGAGGAGAAAACAGGATAAATTGTTTACATTTATCCTTTCTTTCCCTGTCTTTCCTATGGGATTTTCCTGAGTAAATTTAACTATTTAGGATATTAGTCAGATAAAATGGCATTATATTACAAAATAGTAGTACTTAGGACTCAGGCTATTTGATGCAGTAGTGTTGTTTACTTATTTAAATGTATTCGTGTATACTCACCTACCTCTGTACTATCATTTCTTTGTTTTTGGTTTGTTTTTTTTTTTTTTT